GGGGGGGTCCCGGTTGTGCCCTCTCGTCGCTGCCCCCTGCCTCAGTTTCCCCACCGCGGCCGCGCTTGGGTTGGGAAGGGGGGGATGTGAGGCTGCCAGCTTTAAGGGCTGCTCTCTTGGGGACCCCCCGCCCTCCTGCAGCTGGCCTGGGACACTGCGGCCCCCTGCTGCCTCCCCCTGGGGAGGGGGATTCCCCCAGGGGAGGGGAGGTAAGGTCCCAGGGTGGCAAATCCCCCCCGCCCCGGGAGCTGGGCTCCCGCCGTAGGGTGAAGGGCTTGGTCACAAAGCTGTGCCACCAAGGAAGTGTCACTGGCAGGGCCAGGAGGAGAACTCACCTTGTGCCAGGACCCGGCGCATGCCTGGGTTTCTTCTAAGGATGCTGCAGCTTTGGGATTTCTGCTCTGGTCCGTGCCAGTTCCAAAGCTTTCTAAGGGAAGCTGCAAAAGGAAAAAAAACTCTCCAGAGGTGCACAACCTTAGCAGCCACCAAACCTTTCCCAAGCTCCTGAGGCAGGCTCAGTGCCGGATCCGTCCTCCGATCGCAGTCTCCGTGCGGGAGCCCGCCGGCAGAAAGAGGCGGCTGTGGGATGGTTGGACTCGATGATCTTAAGGGTCTTTTCCAACCTTAACGATTCTATGATTCTGTGATTCTATGGTTTGGCAGCGCCAGGAGACAGGAATAGGAATCCCTTCTCTCTGCGAACGCGCTGCGGGAGGGCAGGGGAGGGGATTTTCATCACCTCCAAGCCAGACCAGCCAGCACTGCCTGAAATGGCCTTCCCTGCACTGCCTTAATGACCGTAGCGTCATTAAAAAGGCATAATTATCCCCTTATTTCCCTGTCCCTGCCTCCCAGCATCAGTGTAGGGGCAGCTAAATACCTCGCTGGGAGCAGGTTGTACCCCGGCTGACCCGCCGCGGGTTTTCCCGGTGAGCCCCGGGAGGACCCACATTCCCAATCCTGAGCGCACCTGGCCCCGAGCCCGGCACACAGTCCCTGTCGGATGGGCAGGATCCGTCCCTGCCTCGACATCTTTGCATACGGAGCCACTGTGAGGCCCCACGGTCCAACCGATGGGCGACGGGAATGACACCCGCTTCGAGACGCTTTGAGATCAGAGCCGCACCCGCTGTGCTCCCGCTGCGCCCGCCCTCTCATGCTCCTGCCAGTTCCCGTGTCGGAGCCCTTACGGGGCGCTTCTCCAGGGCCCCCCACGATCCCATCCCCATCGTCCTCCCAGGCACGAGCCGGCTCCTGCGTGGTGCAGGGTTGCCATCGCTGTCATGCCGTCCAGGGCGGACGACACTAAACTTCACGGCAACGTTTCCTTCCCTGGTGCTGAGCCGCGAGGAGCCAGGACATTTCTTTCCCAAGGAAGACATTTGCTGTCATCTTTGAGGACAGTTGGGTCAGGGTTCGGGAATTTTTTTCCTGGTAGTTTGCTGCAATGGATTTGTGTGCAAGGAGGGGGTTTAGTCTCACGCTGTGGATGTCACCACCAGATACCACCACTACCTGCGGTCTGGGATGCCCCTTCCCCTGCTCGCCCTGGGCAGCCACGGAGCTCATGACCAGGACCCCGATGCTGCTGTCTTCGGCAAGCTTGGTCCTGGTGGAGAGGCTCCTGGCGACCAGACCCAGCAGGGCTGGATCCTGGGGTTGTGGTTGGCAAAATCCTATTGCTAATAGGGTGTAGAGGAGGGTTCGGAGCGATCCCATGCGTCGGTGGGTGGGTGAAGGCAGCAGGCGGGTGGTTAGGACCAACGCATCCCTCGGACGGGATGGTGGGTGGAGAGGGGTTTGGTCCCGCTCCCCTTTCATGCCACCCGGTGCGTTGTCGAAGCCGCAGCAAGCCTTGCCTGCAGAGGAAACGGCAGGTTTAAACGTCGTGTTAATATTTAGCACATCCAGCTCCAAAGCTGATTTACATCTTACCCAAATTCCTTCTTCCAAAAGGGGAACACGTGGAGGCAGCTCCGTGTCTGCCCTGCGGACAGGGAAGGCCAGGGGCAGATGCCCTGGGTGGCTCTGCGACACACAGCAGCATCGTTTTGGGTTGTGGGAGAGCACTGAGCCTGGGGTGCCGGCTAACACGAGACATGAACCCGGGACAGGACCTTGCATGGGGTCAGGACCTTGTTCTGGCTGAAGGGACCAGCATTATCACACCGTGAGGATCCGTAAACGGTGCGATCCTTATGGAAAGGTGATCTTTCTGCCACACCATGGATTCCAACAGTTGTAGTGATAGTAAGGGAGGAATTCTCACATGCTCTTGGTCTTTTCTTGATGTGCTTTTTGGTACTAGTGAGGAATGGCTCGTACCACATTGCTCCTTGGAGGAGCCAGGGCTGGGTCCCTCAGGCACCCGGGCTGGGCCCTATCCTGCACCAGTGGGTCCCAGCGCTGGGTTTCAGCAGGTGGCTCCTGACACCCGTCCCTGAGGATGCCCAGCACTGCGTGGCATTGCCTTCCGTGAAAGGCTTTCCTGCCTCCGGAGCGTTCAGGGCATGGCCATGGTGCTGTCGTACTAACGAGTGCGTAAGCACATCCCAGAGCTGGGATCAGGGTCTGCTCCCCACCGGGTCCCACGCTGGAGGTGGCCATGAAGCGTCCCAGCACGCTGGGCACTCGGTGCATGGATGGGGCAGAGCTCCTCCAGCATTTAGTGTCTCTGTGGCTCAGGCAGAGCCTGAGCTGTGCCCTTGCCCCGTGAGAATTTGGGAATGATGGGCAGCAGAGTCATGGCATGGTGAGCTCAGTGCTGCTGTGGAGCTGCATTACTTGGATCCTCTTGGCTGCCTCATCCTCTCTGACCAACTCTTGAAATCCCTGGTTGTATTTTTGCTGTTTGATTAAAATGATGGTGTGCCAACCCTACCCTGATCCCCATCCAGGCTGGCCGTGGCTTTTCCCTCCAACCAGGACCCATCCAAACTGCCCCAGGGCTGCCCAACCCTGGGCTAACCCCTGCCCTGGAATGGGATAGGATGGAGCTGGACCCTCAGTGCCAGACCCAGGGGAACATCCCGGTGTGGGTGGGTTTTGGTGCCAAGGTCTCCAGAGGGAAGCATCTCCTGCCTTTCTCCAGTGACCCTAGAGGGAGCTTTAGGCCCCTTTAGCGTGGAGCGAGGTGACCTCCACCAGCCTGGCATCCCCCAGTGCTCCTCAGTAACTGGCAGGTTGAGTGTTGTGCTGATACTCCTCAGTACTCTGGTTTTCCTGGAGGTACTGGGCATTGCAGAGGGGGATGCTCTTCGCTAGCCAAGCTGCCATCCAGCCTCCTCCCTCTCCTCACCCGCCGGCAGCACAGCCTGGGGGTTCGGGTAGAGCTCCCCGAGTGGGTGCTTGTTCATTCAGCCAAAAGCATCTATTATTGCACGAAAAGAAGTTAAAGAAAGAGTTTGACTCGGGTGTGACAGGCTGCCTGTGCGTTTCTGCAGGTGGGCAGTGCTCTGAAACACTGCTCGACTTCAGCTCAGGTGGGAGATTAATAAATCACAGCCCCGATAAAAGAGAAAGGGCTGAGACTGACAGCTGTGTGGGATGGCTGCAGAATAACGCTGCTCCTCTTCTCCCAGGGATCCCCGCACTCCTGGCAGCCCCCGTGAGCCATAGCTGCACTATTTGCATTTTGCAAATAGGAGAAACTGAGGCAGGGACAGGAGCTCCCACTTCTGGACCCATGGGAGCAGCCAGAGAGAGGTGCCAGGTTATCTGGCTCCCAGTCTGGAAGAGGAGAGGAGAGCTCAGGTGGCTCTACCCCACCAGGGTGGCCAAAACCCAGTCCCACCCATGAGCATCAGGGACTCATCTCCCACCACGGCATGGGATTCAACTCACCAAATTCCCAGGGGATGCTCGTACCCTGGGAGGCTGGGGAGGGTGTTAACCAACAAGATGACCCTCCTAGGTGTTCTTAGGAGATTTGGGGGTGGTTTTGAGCTTCAGGGCCTCGTAAGGCAGCCGTCACTCCCCAGCAGCCACCCCGTGCCTGCCCCAGGCTGGCTGAAAAGGGCTCCAAAGCCCCAAATCCGTTGCTGTTGCAGCTCTCCACTTCTCCGCCTCTTTGCTCTGCAGGTGAAACTCAGCTAGGGGTGAATTTGGGATTTTCTGCAAATACTTGCTCTTCGGGCCGGCTGAAAAAAAAGGAAAGAGCAGAAAAATGATTAATTTTCTTCAGCCTGCCCATTTTGGGGGTGCCTGCTCCTGTCCCGCAGCACGGTCTGACCTCACACAGGGTCACTGCCCATAGCAGTTTGCACTCTTAGACCAACCTAATTGCACTTGTGAAGGAGGGGACTTGCGCCCCAGTGCAATTAGAGAGCTTGTCTGCTAATTGATCACAGATGGAGTTATAAAGAGCTTCTTGGCGAGGCTTCCTCTCTGGATTAGTGTGTGCAAATGAGGGAGATCATTCCTGGATACCCCCTGGAGCACCACCGGGCACTGGTGGATAATGGTACTGCTGTAATGAGACATCGCAGTGATGCTTGCTGGATTGGGAGAGGACGGGGCAGGGGAGGTCCTACCATGTTGGCTTGTCTTAAGCCATGCTCTTAGGAGAGTTATTTTGGGTGGCAGATTGCCCCCCTTGGAGGGTCTTCTCCCAGATACTGCTTGTTACGTGTGTTCACTTACAGCTGATTCACCCCCTGACCTGTGCACGTCTCCTTAATTAGTTTGGTCCCGTATCTACGTGAGGCTGCTCTGCAGCTTCCCCTTAAGCCCACACCAAGGCTGAGATGCTCTGTGCCTGTCCCATCACCTAGGAGGCTGTGGGGTCCTAGAATCACGGAATCACAGAAGGGTTTGGGAGGGAAGGGACCTCCAAAGGCCACCCAGTCCCACCCCTGCCATGGGCAGGGACATCTTCACCCAGACCAGGGTGCTCAGAGCCCCATCCAACCTGGCCTTGGATGTTTCCAAGGATGGGGCATCTCCCACCTCTCTGGGCAACCTGGGCCAGAGTTGGTTGGCATGAGATAAATACAGTGCCTATATCTGCCTATACCCCTGAGAAACTCATGCATCTGTGGGTGAAGTGACTCATGGCAGGGAACCGGGAGGGTGGTTTGGGATACAGGACGCACGTTCTGGGTTTGCTTTACCCAGGTCGGATGCTGCAGACAGCAGAAAGTCTGACAAAATGATTTTCTGGCTCTCCTTGTGTAATCGTTAAATTAGAAAGGGACAGGGCATTCCCTGTCTAGAGCTGTGGCATCAGGATATCTCAATCTTTGGTAAAATAAAGTAAAATATTCTATTCTGTTCTAAAGTAAAAGTTGACCCCGCAGCAGTAAGGGGTACCCTGGCATCTGCTTTCCCTGACCCCAGGTTGTCTGTGCAATGCTGGGCCCAGACCAAACTCACGCACCGAGCTGTTTTTAATTACCCAGGAGACAGATTTCCTTTCTGGAAGGGAAAGCCTCAATGTGATTCAGTGATTAAATATTAGCATTTTTGTAAGTTTTCCTCCTGCAGCGTTATGAAGTGGATATTAACAAGAAATATTGATTCAGGGGGGGTGTGGGTGGGTAAGGTTATCCTACTGAGAGCAGCGGAAGGCACGGGGCAACCTATGAGCTGGGGCTCCTTGGGAAAACCTGATTATTTCAATAACTAATGCACATGCTTGGCTGCTCTCCCTAGGTTTCCCCTCCGCGGCAGCACGTCTGGCCGCTCCTCCCCTCCTCGCATCCCTGCTCCCAGCTGACCGGGGGCTTTCGGTGCTCCCCTGCCCGCGCAGGCAGAGCCGGGCTGCAGTGGTGGAAGGATGCTGCATCGGGGTGGGCACGCGTGGCTGCATTCGTGGGACTGGACCCAAACGTGCCCATCTTCTGCTCTGTGCAGGAGCTGGGGTGGTTTTCTTGGGGCGGTTGGTCCTAAATCTCATCCCTGGGCTTTGAGCACACTTCTGGGGTGTGTAGACCTGCACCCCAATACCCCGAAGCTTGAGGAGCCCCTGTTCAACCAATGTAAAAGCCATTGCGAAAACTGCTGCCGTGCCCATCCCCATGCTCTGTTTTGTCTGCTCTACAATAGATGGGTCAAGATTTGAAGATACCAATTAAGCACACTCCAGGAAAACCTTCTTAATTAGCTCTTAAAGCACGTTAATGTGGTGTTTAGTGCCGGCGCAGGGGAGCTGAAGCTGGATTCGCCCTCTCGCGTGGGCTGTGTCCCCTCTGCACCCCCGCACACGTGCCTGCGGTGCTCTCGCACCTTCGCAGATGCATTTCCCCGTCCCAGTGCTCCAGCCAGGCCACCCCCGCAGACCCCGAGCCCGGGGTCTTGCTGCCGCCGGTGCTGTGCAGCACCCACCCGTGTCTCCCACCCTGGCTGCCCCTTGCCTCGCTGCAACCAACCTGGTTTTCCTCTCCTTCCTCCAGGGCTCTCCTTCTACACCCGAGTGCTTGAAAACTGCGAGGACGAGGCCAGGTTTGATGAGGTAAGAGAAGACGTGTTTTCCTCCTGGTCTGTCTCGCACATCTGGTTGGCTTTGCTGTGACTCCCCGTCCAGTTGAATATCCCCATTCCCCATTTTAAGTGTGTTGGCATCTTTGTTGTCTGCTCCAAGGTTTCTTCTGGCAGGTAGCAAATGGGTCTCTTGGCTGGGGCTGAGGACACGGGGTGCCCATGACATGGGAACAGCTCTACAGCATTTCCCTGTGGGGTGATTAATTAAAAAAAAAATTAAAAATCCATATTGTTTGCACTGAAATTTCAGGAAAAATTGCTTGTCTCCACTGGGCAGATCCCGCTGGGCTCTTGGCTCTCCTTTTCCTTGCCTCAGGGGGAAAAACTCCTCCTTGTTTCCAGTCCCTGGTGCCTCAGTTGTTGATGCTCAGCCTGCCAGCCTCCCTCACCCATCTGCATCCCTCGGCTCACGCCGGGTAACAAACCAATTCATCTGCTTTGGGTGCCGATCGGAGGATGTGTTGGCCTTTAGCACTCGGCTTTGGGCTTGAAAAAGGAGAGAGAAGGAATTGAAACCCAGGTTCTGTGTGGTTTTGAAATACAGCCTTTTCTTAAGCAGTAACCGAGTAAATATTCTGAGATGATTGAAATAAGGTCACCCACACAAGCAGGGAATAGAGGTGCTGCTAAGAAGTCACATTCAAAATGGAAAAATGCTTTCAGAAGAGAATGGATGTTTCCTCTGATTGCTTTGTGTTTCTCGTAGAAGATAACGCGTTCCCAGGGGCTGGAGAATACAAGAGGCTATGAGGAATATTCAGATCTCTAGATTGTTTATCGCTTTTTAAAGCTTTGTCACCTTTAGGAAATGAGGTTTCATCCTGGTTTCAGGCATGGGATGCTTTTGTGGGGTGATAAATGCCGTGGTGTTCCCAGCTTGCGTAGCCAGAAGCACACCCGGCTCCTCCCTGCCCCTCCGTGTCCCTGGCACGGGTTAGTCCTTGCTCCAGGTTTTAGGGGAAGAGCTTAATCTCAGGCTCCCCTAAACTGCCAGGGAGGATGAAGGGGCAGGGGAAGCCCATGGCTCGGGCAGGGTGGGATCTGCCACCGGTACCCCCAGTGTTGCACGGGGTCGATGAGGCACAGCGAGAAGGTGGCTGGAGATGTGGCTCCCACCACGCTCCTGCAACGCCGAGGCAGCCAGGGGAAGCTGCTGGTGTTAACGGGATGCAGATTTCTATAGATCTGCACACAGCAATTTGTTAGTATAATAACTGATTTGAATAACAACCAGGGAGGTGTGCACTGGTGGAGCTGCCTGTGTCTCAAAACTCTCTGTGATTTGAATGAGGAGATCCTGCCCTGCCGGGGCTGAAGGGCTGGAGGCTCCGCTCACTGTCTCAGGCTTGGTGGGATGCCAGATACCGGCTACTCTGAGTGCTTGGTGCTGCACAGTGATCTTGGAGCATCCCAGCTACGCTCTGAGCATCCCAGCCAAGCTTGGAGCATCCCAGCTACGCTCTGAGCATCCCAGCTATGCTCTGAGCATCCCAGCCAAGCTTGGAGCATCTCAGCTACGCTCTGAGCATCCCAGCTAAGCTCTGAGCCCCCTGCGGTCCCAGGCAGTGTGCAGGAAAGGATGGGTACTGGTGCACGTCAGGAGGATGAAGACTATAGAGCTTAAAAGACAGCAGGTATAAGAGCCTTGAGCCACGGGTATATCTTAGTGTGCATCGTATTTTCTTCTAGTGCCTCTTACTGCATCTGTGGGGATGAGCCTCAGGCTGCCCCCATCTCTCTGTTTAGATCATGTTTATTACAGTGCCTGCTGTGAGAGCCTCAGTTAAAATAAGCCTGGTAGTATCTACACAGTGAATTGCAGCAGAGTGAGGCAAGCTGATTTGGAGCAACTTTGCGTGCCTGGACCAAGCTTTGGGTTCTTCTCATCTCCTTGTGCTGGGTGGGAGGTGATGCATCGGCAGCCCGAGGCTGTACCCAGCTCCCTGCTCACCCGCACTGCAAATACCCTGGTTTTTCTCATCAGCCACTTGGCTCCAGCCGGAGGAAACTCCAGCGTGAATCAGAGGTTACTTTGCACTGAGGACCAAGGTCAACACGGAGCCCTGGCAGAGACGACATCAGGGTGTGCAGCTGCTGACGGCTCCAGGGCTTGGGACCTGCCAAACATGAGTAATCCCAGTGGTTTTTAAGTTAAGCACATTCCTAAGTCTTCCCTGTGCTGGAAGAAGAGTGCTTATGCCCTGAACGATTGCCCCATCAGTCAAGCTTTTGTCCTTGGGGTCATGCAAGATGCTCCATGAGGCATTCGGTAACCTAAATGTGTGCTAATGCCAGGTCAGACACAGCTCCTGCTGTAGCACCGTGACCCAATGCTATCCCCACTGGCCCAAAACATAAGAGTTTGATGAGTTCTGATGGCCCGTAGTGAACAATGCAGAAAACATGTAGGCTAGCCTACGTTTCTGGGTTCAGCTTTCCAGACTGATTATCTCATGCTGCTGAAGGACTCCCTGATGCAATGGTCACGGACAAGAAACCTGCCATGAGCTAGGGAATGTGTCTTGGGCTGCCTGGATTAATTAGCTGATGAGGCTATCCAGGAAAGCAGATATTTCCCTTTGAGTGTACACACAAGGAAAGTCATCACGCCATTG